TTTGACATTGATTAGCTGTGGCACCCACTTTCATTGTCTCCGCTGAGATCACATCAAAGCTTTGTGTTTGAGTCCAACATGTCAAAAGCAGTGAGGTCAAAGGTCAGCGTGATAGCCATCAGTCCTCACCGCACCCAGCTGCTCTCCAAAGAGCTAAATACTGGTACTTGTAGTTTATGCTCAACAAAGATGGCTTAAAAAGGCCCTAAACACGGGTTGTTTACGAAAAGAGCCACTGAGTGAGTACACATGTCACTTTTTCCATCTGATGGGAACGTGATCAATCTCTTTTTAGTGCTCCGTGTAACCCTGCTTTTTTTATAATGTAAACAGCAGCTCACTTTGCTAATTGACTTTCTCTGTCCTCTCAGGACAATAGAGGCTGGTCCTTGACTTCTTTATGACTTCCCCCTTTATGAGTCCTTGGTTGATTATGCCTTCAAGGAGCCCTTAATAAAGACTAAGCAAACAGAGCTTTCAGCAGGACCCATGGAAAACTCTGAGGCTATTGTGAAAAGCTCTCTCCCCCTCTTTATGGCAAAATGCCAGCCCTATAGCATGGGACAAAGATGAAGAGGATATTCGCCAAAAAACATAGGCTAAATGAAACGCTCGTGAAAAGCTCTCACTTGTGTGTTCCAATGAAACGGCTCTTAGTTTAGCTGTAAAATAAGTTGAAATGATGGCTTTTGGTTCAAGTATTTTTCATTCAACAACAATAAGCCATACATCACATGCATGTGTAGTGGAAAACAGAACGGAATAAACACATAATACAGCAGTTTGAATGAACATTTGTGCCAAATTCCATCTCTGCTTTTACCTGAGCTTCACTCTACTTGGCAGTTAGCTTAAAGATTTTAAAACTTTGATTCCACCATATTTATTTCTGGACCGGAAATAATTTAAAAGCAAAACCAGCTCAAATTATTTTTCACACCAAGCCTTGGCAGTTGTCCAGTCAGCCTGAGAGCCCTCAACAACCAGTGGGCCAAGAGAGGGTCATCTTAAACAAAAACGTAATTTCCTGCCTGCCGAGGGTGCTGGGATATTAATCTAGATGAAAGGACTGGAACAGGAAGTGAGGTGAGTGTTTGGCATGTAAGGTGATGAACTTCCTCTTTTGTTGCTGTAGAAAGCGAATAACACAGTCTGCCTCTCCTTCTGCTTACCCCCCTTGGCAGACCACGACACCTCTGGGTGTCCACTGCATTTCTTACATTCTTAGGGCCAGTTAAGCTGGAGGCCTCTCACGGTTCCCTCCCACCACATTTGATCAGCTGTTCTGTGGGAGTCAGAGAAGAGCCTTGAACATCTAACTTGCCAAAGTGGTGGTGGAGACAGCGACTCTCGTACCCCAGCGCCCACCAAATCTTGTTTGGCCAGTAAAAACAATGTGCCCATCTATTTACAACCCGTACTCTCTCTGCATGACACCCAGGGTTTTATCACCAACCCATCGGCACAATGCTGGACACTTGCCTCCGCAGCCCGTTTCAATGGACGGAAATTGGGAATGCAAAACAGACCAGTAGTGAAAGGACATGTGGCTCCATCAGCTCCCATACAAACAATGGAGAATCTCCCAGTGTTTAGCTTCTACTTCCTCCCGAAACACAGCACTAACAATGAGGCGCTATTATGACTGACTGTGTCTGCTGTTTTCAGCACCAGTATCTGGATGAGACCAGGATGAGGACGCATCTTCAAATTGTTTAGCACTGAGCCGATTTATTTAAAGTAAAAGGGATATTTCTCTTACAAGATAAAATGTTTAAAATCCCTAGAAAATCACTGGAGCAGAGAAGGTAATAGGAAACAGAAGGGAAAATGGAAGTGGTAAAATTAGAATATCCATTGTTCACTGCACTTATTTGACAACTACAAAACCCCTTCAATTTTAACTTCAACTTAAAATTATTGTCCCTGAGGGAACATTTGTGGAAGACAGAACAAACGAACCTGCCCAAATCTCAAACAAGGTCTTCAAATGTCATTACTCACTTATTTTGAAAAAAAGGATTTGTTTTGGGATTACAATTCTGTGACCATAAGCCATTACAGCACGGTACCTTTCTGAAATAAAAACAAAGAACAGACTCACTGACTCTACTCTTGACAAACAGAAAACGTCAACATTTTGAATCTCTATTCATGAGAAGGATTGGACCAAAATAATTTACATAACATTAATTCTATGACTGCAGTGCATTCAACAAGAGGCAAACCGGCAGCACCATCTTCTCTGCTTATATTGTTCCCTGATGAGAGATCTAGAAATGTGCAGCCCGTGGCACAAGTGTTTGTTTACATCATAAGAAATAATACTCTCTCTCACACAAGGGGTCTCTGCAGCCTTGATAAGGATCATGGGTATTTATTACACACAGCAGAGCCCTTTCACTGAATTGTTTGATAATAATAATCTAGCGCACACTAGAGACAACTTCTGAATCTTAGTGCTTATATTGATGTTCTTTGCATAATGACAAACAATGCAGACAAAGCCAGTGACACAAAGATGAAGGGCTGTCAGACCTTAGGCCATGAAAATTCCCAGCGCGTTGAGAGCAGAGAGGACAGTTTAAATGTGGATGGAGATCTTGGGTTATACTATACAATGAACATCCCTTGAGACTGACACTGTGTGTCCTGTAATTGCCCCCGAGTCTGCCTCTCTGCTCTCAGTCTCCGCTGGGGGTGACATCTCGTCTCAAAGGCAACGAAAGGGGAGATATCTATAGACCAATCACAGCCCAGTTAGTCAAACCTCCATCAGCTGGTCACAGCTCCATCTCTTTAACACTCCTCTCGCTCCTCCTGGGGAGAAAAGCACTGGGCTGGAGCCAATTCAAAACTACAGGGTTACACACACACACATACACACACACACACACAAGAGAGAGACAGAGACAGAGACAGAGAAAGACCTTGACCTGCTCATTCCCTTCCAAAGCCTCAATGCCAAAGCTTTGGCTCTAAATAAATACAGCCTTCAAAGGGAGAGATAGTTTAACCCTCTGGAACCAACACTTTGTTTCAGCCCTGGTTTGACAGATAATCCCTCACAAATCCCAAATCTCTGTGGAATTCAGAGTTATAGCCAAAGTGGCAGAAATATACAGACGGACAAAACAAAAAGAGCTTACAAAACATGCAAAAGAAATGGCATCAAAGCTGGTGTCGGTTTGAAAAGCTAATTTGCAAGCAAGGAAGTACTGGATAGGGTAAATGATATCAAAAGGTAGATATAGTCATGAATGAATATAAACACCAGGACCTGTTTCAGTTGGAATGGTAAATGAGACTGAAAAGCCGTTACATACACATGGATATGCAAATACACAGATAATCCAACTGACACACAGGGCGGTAGCCAGGATTTTAGAACTATCGAGGTCTAATAGTTTGATCACCCACCCCTCTTGGTGGAAAGTTTTAAAGACTTGAGTGTAAATCCTTGCATTTCACACACAGAATCACTCAGGATCATTGTTTCCGCCTTGAAAAGCCACTGAAAAGAAGCTAATCAACTGGCTCAAGATCAGTTGATTCAAGTGCAAGTTCCTGAGAACCACAGAGAACGTTTCCTTAAGGGGACCCTAAGGCCTGGAGGAGTAGAGCACATCATTTCTAAGTCAGTATTTCCAAGGAAATAATGTGAGAAATTGCTGAATGAGGACAATAAGAGTCCCAAACAAGCTTCCAATCCACATGCTGCTATAGATAAGGACTGGTTTGCTCTCTTCTGCTGACCAGCCAACAAGCCTTCTCTTACTCTAGAATATTATCATTGAAACTTTTACATGCAGTGTCAGAGTTGAATATTCAGTTGTAAACAAAACTGCATGTTGCTGGATGCCCTCAGCAAAAAAAAAAAAAAAAAAAAAAAAAAGAGGACATGACCCCTGTCTCCTGAATAGCCAGTTAAAAACCTCCCTGTATGCGAACAGCAGTGGAGCCCTCTCAGCTGGTCAGGCATATGATTCAGACACAGAAAAGGTCACTTCTAGTCCTGTGAAAACAAGAAGCCCTCTCAGTCTGGCTCCTCACAGGACTGCCTAACAGCCTAACCCAGCTGGGTGCTCTTCATTTACTGCCCCTGCCATCGATAGCCCGTTGCCCATTCATCACAGCAAAGAGCCTGGGCTTTATGTGCTCGTGGGCCTGGTTAATCCACCCACGCTGAATGCTGAAGCAAGTCACTGGACAGGTGAGGTCAAGATAGATTTAATAATCAGAGTGTAAATCTTTTTTCCCCCCCTGCAGGAAATCACAGACAGGGTGAAAAGCTCCTCAGGATCTCCTCTCTCTCTCTCTCTCTGCTCTCTGCTTATTGATCTGCAGAAACTTCATTCCCATCATTCACCGTGACAGCAACCACTCACACTTCTGTAAAGTACGGCTGGGGCTGGAAATGTTTAAGCACCACACCGGCATTTACCTATATGGCTCCGTTTCTCACCGTATTTTTGATGTTGAACAAGTCGATGAGATGTGCCCTTTACACGAGACACGCTCTGACTGACTGACAGAGGGCTTTCAACCAAATGATGGATGATGCAGACCAGGTGACAGGCCCCTTTTGTGCCACACAAACACCTCTAGCACATTGCAAAAACAACCTCTGCAAATGTGTTTAGTCTAATATATATATATATATATTCTTCAATCTGAAAGATTTGTCTGGCTGTTGTTTTGAAAACCAACCGTTTTTTTAAAAAAAAAAAATCTCAAATCAGGTGTCATTTCTCACCTTAATAATGAACACTTATACTTTATTTAAAAATAAATTAAAAAAAACATTTAAAGAGGCTGTTTAAGTGGATATTAGACTAAATTACTTGCTAAGTGGGTTCATTTTTGCAGTGTATGAGTATTGAACATGATGCACTGTGTATTGTGCTCTCATCCAGTGTTTCTCATGTATGACTTTTGGCAGCTGATGGTGCCTTTTGTGCCACATGACATGTCATCGCGTCTATCCGGGTTCCTCTTACCTTATTAGAGTAGGGCGGCCTGGCGAGGTTGATGCCATCTCTGATGAGCTTATCCCTGATCATAATCTTCAGCTTCAGCTTGGGGTAAATCACCAGCTCCCTCCTGTTGCCCAGCGTCAGGTTCCTCTGCGCGCCCATGTACCCACCGTTGCGCCCAACCCGCTCACTGTTGGGCTCGGTCCAGGACTTGGATCCCCGCAGTTTGGACTCATACTGGTCCACCAGGTGACTGGTATAGATCTCAGCCGCGGGGGGCATCGGCTCCAGGGTGAAGTACAGTCCACTGGCCGTCTCTTGGGCTTCCTCTTTCAGCCTCCTCACTGCGTCGTGAATCCTCTGCCTGTGGTGAGGAATGTAGACGCCGATGGCATCCAGGTCTGGGTCTCCGATTTGTTTGCAAACCTCCAGGTCGTCATATCCATTATCCACAAAAGACTCGACATACTGGGCGAGCTGGAGGGTCTTGAGCCACTCGTAGACGATGACAGGTCCGTTGCTTGTCATTTTGGCTGTTGCCAGAGAGGCTACAACTCGGAGGGAAGAAGACACTAAAGTGATGGTTACTTTCCCATTCGGCGTTTCAAACGCATTATAAGGTTGTTAATAACAATGTGTGCGTTCGCAGAGTATTAGTAAAGTGAAGAGAACTGGATTAATCAAATTTCGGATTCTCCATTCCAAACGTTTGGTTACCATCCCCAACCTTATGAGTCCGCGGTGTGTAAAGACATAGCAGAGCCGGGAGTGAATGAAAGGCTCAGCCTGACACACTCGGTATTGTGACACCTGTCAATATTTACAAATGAAGATCACTTCAGTTTCACTTGTCGCGGCATTCAAATCCCAAATGTCATCAAAACATTAATCTCTGCTCGCCCACGGTGACTTGGTGACTTACCATGCGCAGTCAGTTCCGATAATTAGGCTTCCTTAAACAAATAGGAAAGCAGTTTCCTCAAACTATTGTCATTCAAATAGCTGCTCGACCAGATTTCGTCCGTTACGCACGGCAACTGCCGCGTCTTCAAGAAATAAATGGAGAAAAGAAACACTACACGCTTTATCCTCCTTCCTTTAAGTCCTTTGTATCGCCAAGCGACAGCGCGTTGAAGAAGTAAATCCAAATAGATGCCAAACGGGTTTTTGAAAAAAAAAAAAAAAAATGACAGAAAGTCTGCTGCAACCTCACGGTTCCGCGTCCTGCCGCTCCGTCTATGCGTGGTCCGGTTCTTTCAGCCGGCACATCACTACGCTGGAACTGCAGCCAAGAGCCAACATGCTCACTGCTACTCCTCTACCGTCCACGCCCCCCCTCCCAAAATCTCACTGTACCCATTTAAAAATAGTGATGCGAGTCCCTTTTTTTTCTCTCTCTCTCTCTCTCTCTCTCTCTTTCTCCCCCTCCCTCTCCCAACTTGTCACGCCGACTCGGGGCACGCCGTGGGTCACCAGGTTCCCACCTACTTGGGCCAAAGTTGATCCGAAACGAAAGCGCACCTTAAACCTGTCGCACAGTTCACATGAATATCCCAGCAGCTGGGTTCGTGTCACATTATTATTCCCCTACGATGTGATTTCGTCCACCGCACCTCTCTCTCTCTCTCTCTCTCTCTCTCTCTCTCTCTCCCTCTCTCTCGCTCTCTCGCTCGCTCATACACACACTCTCTCTCACTCACTCACTCATTCAGCATTTCCACGCTTTGGTTTCTCAACACGCATGAGCTCCCTCTATGTGTCAACCGGGGAACTGAAGGTTTCACAGCACTGGAGCTGATGTAATAGGAGAAACTGAGGGCTCATCCATCCATCCATCCATCCATTCATTATCTATATGATCATACATTTCATGTAGTTTCATGACTTTAAAAACACCGAAGAGCAAGTGGAGACCAACTGTCTGTATCAAATTGCACCACTGGATGCCATCATTATTAAGCGTGAGACAAGTCAAACAGAAAGAGAGAGAAAGAGGCGCAGAGGACTAAGGGAATAACACTGCTTGAATAAGACCTGTCCACTCTGTCCAAATGGTTGCCAAGCCCGGTCCAGTCCTGATGCATGCTTCATCAAATGTGAGCTGACAGCTTGTTAGGGGTCAGTTTGATACAATCACCATCTCTGCTCTAGGCTGGAAGTGATTTGCCTCGGCCCATTATGACATGCGGCAGGGCTAGAGAACAAACACGTCGGTCGGGGAGTGGATGGGGGAAGCATATCAAACAGCCTCCCTTTTTGGAGAAGCGGCGTCAGAAACATGCCAAAAATGCATGTTAGAATGTCAGAGGAAGAAGTGTGTGCCAGTGTGGAGCCTTCATCGCGTTCCCAGTCCAATCAGACTCGAGTTAGTTGACATTTCCTGTGATTTACCTGTCTGCGGCCATCATCGTTATGAGTCAGAAATGCTCTATTGTCCCTCATTCCTTTGTAAACATTAATTTAAAGTGGTTTGACTGACAGGACCAAGAGGGGTTAAACGTGTGCGGAGTGTGAAATGATGCATTAGAGCTTGTACTTGCACTGACATTAGAATCTTTTATGAATATTCAGCCATATTACGGACAAATAAACCAAAAGAATCCAGGTTTATACTGTAGATGCTACAGGTCGGTACAGTGACCCTCATAACAATGGAAACAATAAAACAGTATGTTGGAGAGAAAGCTCAGATTAGGTAGAATGTCTGCAGACTAACTTGGAATTATGTAAAGCCAACCTTGACGATAAGCCAAAGTTTAAAAAACAGTGTTACCCTTTAACATTCACTCTGAACACAAACCTATTACAGTTCTCTTTTCCCAGCTCTTGTATATAGGATTAAAAAAACCCACACAGTTCTGCCCCCACCATTGTTCTGGGCAAAGATGTCATTAGATCGGTTACAGGAGCAGGGGATTATGGGAGTAGAGTGACAGATGGAACGAGGAGACTGGTGCTCTCTACGGTGGGTGGACACGGAGAGCGAACTGGCAGTGCCAGGATTGCTGTGTTTCCACTCTGCTGCCCCGAGCCGTGGAGTGCAACCAGCGGGTGCTGAGAGAGGCAAGGGTGGCAACCTAACACAAGCGTCTCGCTGGCTGTATGGAAACACACAGGACTGTTTGTAAGGCAATCATCTGAATCTGTCCTGAAACACTGATTGTAATTAATGCACTGCAGGTATGCCTATACTTTGATGACTGTGACTTTTTATGAAAATTAACGAATTAATTAAGCAAAGAGTGATTTTTCTGGAGTAATTCTCAAGAGTCCTGAAAAAGTACAACGATCCAGTAATTCACATGAATAAACAGAGGAAGGTCCAAAAATATAAACATAACTTTGTGAAGACGAAATTTTGTTTTTTGGCTTTCCTTTCCTATTAATTTATTTGTCTTATGAAACACATTGGGAACCACTGGTGCAGCATATAAAATGTCAGAAAACAGTGAAAAGTGCAGATCACCTCCTCTGATAACCCAAAGTGATGTCTCCAACTTCTCAGTCCAAAAGCAATAAATATTCAATATTTAGTAATATATAAAAAAATAATAAATAAAAAGGAAATCAGCAAAATATCATTTTTCAGAAGCACATTTTGTCTTAATACTTCACTCAATTAACAAAACTGTTGTCTAATAATTGCCTGTAGATCAGCTAATTCATTATTTGCCTTGTTGTTTCTGTACTAATACTGTACTAAGTAGCTTGTTTACATATGATGGATTTTCAATTCAGTAGAACTTAATTTAAGTGCACCATCATACAGAATGGGTTGATACTACATAACAGTTAGTACTGTATCATTGCTTTGTAGTGACATAAAGAGGCAGTCTATGCCCATTTCGAGCAACAGACCCATTGCTCTTCCCGCTGAGCGCAGCCGTATTGCCCTGCAGCCAAAGGACTGCTGCCACATCAATAACACCTCAATAACCGTCTCTTAATAACATCTGAAATAGGCAGCCCAGAGCATTCGCGCTGGTAAATATGAATATGTGGCAGTGAGAGAGCACATTAGCATTGGATCTCGTAAATATGTATAGGCAGCTTCGATTGTGTTGATTGAAAGAGTGTGACTGCGGCAGGTTGAGGGAAGAAGAGCTCCAGTAGACACAGCTGGAAGGTGAAAGGAGATAGACACAGCCAGACAGACAGACAATAGCAGCTCTGCTGACAGCCAAGCTTTCTCTATGCTAATACTCCACGCTCTGTGTTTCTGCTTCTCTCTGAAAGGGATGGTTTGGGTATTAGAAGGTGGGGATTTTTGTTGGGTGAAATTTTAGGGTCTCTTTTGCTTCAGACGTCTAGGTTGAACCTTTCAAGACCTCAATTTTGAAATCCTTTGAAGCAGAGAATGGCTTCTGTCCACCTAGATGCAGAAGCACCATGAAGGTCATGGATGTTGGTTTCGAGGTCGAGGCTTTCGCGGGTGGCTATCTGTCAGCCCCTGATAGATATGTAGACTCTTCTCCCAGCAACACAGCCAAGGTGGATATAGAAAAAAACAAATCACAATTCATGCTTTGAATTGAATGTGGTCCTGTGGTAGATATGGTTAAGCATGTCAGCTATTTCTGACCACCATTCCTGCAAAGATGTATTGCCAGTTTTTTATGTTGCCAAAGGACTAATAAATCCAAATTTAGAATTTAAAAATGAGTGTCCATAAAACTGTAAATCGCAACAATAAACTTTTTTGTTTTAAATACGAAGTGAGATGTATTATTGGTTTTGCCTTGTCAATCTTTTTTTTCTCCCTCTCTTTCCGTTACAGATTCAAGAATTGGCTGGAGAGGATTCTTCAGGAAGAGCCAAGACTAGAGGAAACAATCCGGGGGAACAGTGAGCTGATGATTGCCTGTGATTACTGCATATCACATTTGGCTTCATCAAGAACAGTAGGTAGTATTCCAATGTTCCTGGAAAACACAAGTTTCTCATGATGGAAAGAATTTACCCGGAAAACGAATTGCAGTACTGTGATCAGTAGTTGTTTGGTGTACCTGTCTAGTGGATTCTTTTTCCGCCTTGTGGCATCTTAGACGGAGAGTGAAGACAAGAGCTTGATCTGTCTCTATGCGCTTTTAATTACAAGCGTCTGGCTAGGCTGCAACCTCCAGAGACCAGAGGTGAAGCGAGCACTTCGGGAACAGCTGCCACTCCACTGGCAGCTCAATATCAACCTAAACATCCCCAAACCCACCGGGAGGAGGAGGAGGAGGAGGGTGGCAGTTCGGGGGTTAATGCAAGGATCACATGTCTAAGCATATCAGCCACAGACACCTGCCAATCACCGCACAGAATCAGTCAGTGAAGGAAACAGGTCAGTTGTCTGCGTTAGCATTCCCACAGGAGCAGTAAAAGCGACGTCGTCAATCAAACGACTACTTTGAGATGCAGTTGAGGCCAACTTCTCAACTTCTCCTGGGGTCTGGTTCAATAAGAGCTGCAGGTGGTGATGGACGGATCTCCGATCAGACAGCAGTGGCGATTACCTTCAGTGGAAGTCACAGGCTGATGGAGTGCAGACTTCTTTTCAAATCAACTCCTACTCCAAAACTTGGCTGCATTTTCAGCTCCAGAGCAGGACTGGAAGGAGTCTTGCAGCCATGAATATTTGAAAAAAACAAAAATCTGCAGAACAGTGATACAGATCTTTGTCTTTTGTTATTGACTCTGCACAGAACAGAAAGTCTTTGGCATCCTGTTTTATACCCTCACAACCTGATTATAAACTGGCAGTATACATTATAGCTGAAAGCCTTTCCCACGTAACAAAACAGGAGGCACATAAAAGAGATGAAGTTTGTGCACTACAAATGCAAAGACCCGCTACAATACCGACATTGCTAATTAAAATCACTCGTGGTACAAACCAGCAGTTAAAATTAATTGTATTTATTGTGCCGAGAATTAAAAACTCAGGATAATGAGCTGAAAACATTTAGGCAAACACAGAGAAACTGCTTTCATAACAGGTAATAAATTAAATGTCTTTAAATGGGTCAGACTGACTTCAAACATTATGTGCTTGCGCTGAGCTTCTTTGTGTTGCACTGTGTTAAAGAAGTCACAGTAAAACAGAAAAAATGCCACACACAAAAAAAAAAATCCCACAATTCCCACAATTCCCACAGACCAAGTAACCTAAGAAACTGAGCTGCTGCTTTGTAGTCTTAAGCTGTTATCATGGAAACCCAGGCTTCACCAAAGAGAGAATTATCAGGCAATATGACTCCTGTTATTGCCTTTGGCAGTACTTTAATAAGACCCAGCTAACCTGTGACCTGAGTTTGCAGCAGCAGAGGTAGTTGTAGGAGAGATTTGGTGGCTCAAAGGGCATCGACATGCCCACAGGAACCGCCACTTAATTCCCAGTCAGCTGCACTGATATGCCATCACGGTGAACCGGAGCCCATGTAATTAGTATGGACGGCCATGCCCCGACCAAGTACAGCAGCATAAGTGGATTATGTATATATGCAAATTTTTTGACACATGGCCATTGGCAATTTGAGACATGCAACTGTGAGTAGTGATATAATGCATAAATGTGTGGAATTTTCATTTGCAATTGAGTTTTTGTGCCGAAACAGACAAA